TTGGACAGGTGTTGCCCATTTGGTCCCATATACTCGATTGAACTTAACAAGCACGTTCCTCGTGTGTTATTGTTTATTTTATAGGCCTGTCTAATCTTCTGCTAAAAGGTAGTGAGAGCTTTCATTCTCCCTGTGTCTTGTTGTCAAGTTGGTATTACTAGTCTCAAAATTTTTTTGCCATTCTTGATGGATGTAAAATGGTGGCTCAATATTGTTTTTATATATGTTTCCTTTATTACAAGTAAAGATAATTAGTGAAATTTCCTATTTTTTGCTGTTTAGATTTTCTTCTGTGTAATATCTGCTCATATCCTTTGCTACTTTTTACTGTTTTATTGTCTTGATTTATAGGAACTGTTTACATATTCTGCATATTAATCCTTTCTTGTACATATTGCAGATATCTTCTACTAAGCTATAACTTTTTTTTTTTAACTTTGTTTATGGTGTCATTTTTTTTTTAATTTTTATGGTTTGTAGATTTTGTATTTTAAATTCTTCCCTACCTCCAAGATCATATAGTCTATATTTTCCTCTAAATATTTGCTTTTCGTCTCATATTTAGTTCTCTGAATAAGAATTTGTTTTTGTATATAGTATGAGGTAGGCTTTCACATCTGTTTTGCTGGTCTATGTGTCTGTCCCCACAATCTCTTGATTTGAATAGTATCTTAGTCTGGGTTCTTTAGAGGAGCAAAATCAGTGAAGCACATATAGGTATATATAGAGAGAAATTTTCTTCAAGGAAATGGCTTACACAGTTGTGGGGGCTGGCAAGTCCAACTCCGTGTGTCAGACAACAGGCTGAAGACCTCTTCTGGCTCACGTGGTTGCAGGGGCTGAAGAACCTAAAACTTGCAGATCAGGTGGCAGGCTAGAGGCCTTTGCTGGCTCATGGGGTTGCGGGGGTTGGTGAATCCAAAATCTGAAGGTCAAGCAGCAGTCTGGAGGCTTCTGCAGGCTTACATTCCAAGAACCAGAGGTCAAGCGATAAGAAGGGTACAGGATTGAGAAAAGAGAGTGAGCTTCGCCAGATCGTTGACTTATATACTGGATGCAGGCCACGCCCCCAAGGAAACTCCCCTTCCAATTGATTGGCTGCTTGCATCAGTTCACAAAATGGAAGGGGATTGTATAGTGTCTGCCAAACCACTGAGAATCATAGCCTAACCAAGTTGACATATAACATTAGCCATACATAACAAATAGCATTATAACAAATCTTGATGTCTGATAGGGCAGACCTTATTCTTAAAAGTTGTCTTGGCTGTTTTTGTCTCATTGCTGTTTCATGTTAATTTTAGTGTTAGCTTCTCAAGTTCCAGGGAGAGAGGGGAGTACTTAAAAGCCCTGTTGGTATTTTGATTGAAATAGCTTTGAATTTGCAAATTAAGTTGGAAATAGTTTACATGAATAGAGCATATTATTTCATATGTTTAGATCTTCTGTAACGTCTTTCAGTAATATTTATTCTGTCAGTCTTACTGATCCTTTGTTTAGATTTCATCCCAAGTGCCTTGTAATTTTTGTTGTAATTGTAATGGTATCTTTCTTAAATTACATTTTAAATTTGTTGTTCGTGTATAAGAATGTAACTTATTTTTGTATGTTTATCTTAAATCTAGCAACCTTGCTGAACTCTCTTATTAATTCTGATAATTTATCTGTAGATTTTATGAGGTTTTCTATATAGACAGTGATGTTGTAAAAAATAGTAATTTTTTCTCCCTTTCCAATCCTTCTTTTATTTCTCTTTACTTGCCTTACTATGCTAGCAAGGGCTTCCTAGTAAATGAAGTTGCGTTTACTATATATTTTTGGTAGATAAATTTACAGATTACAGAAGTTTCCTTCTCGTCCCAGTACAGTAAGAGCTATATTTGCTGTGGTGCTGAATTTTAGCAAATGCTTTTTTGTGACTGTCATCTATGAAAGTGATCTATGCTTATTTTCTTTAATATGTTAATGTGTTGTATTTTATTAATAGATTGTTAAATGTAAACATTACGTTTTCAATAAAAATTAGCTGATTTGTGAAGGGGAAGAAGGAATAAAATGCACATACATGTAGGTTTATAAAATGTTGAGGACTCAGCAGATGGATAAAGTAGATCTTTGTTCATTGAAATTCACTAATTCACTGATTTTAACCTGTCTTTTGCAAGAACTTTTTATTACTAAAGTTAATTTTTGCCTCAAATGCCCACTTTCCTGTAGAGAGGATCATAAACAGTAAAATGATAAGAAGACTAGTGGGATTACCAGTAGGGGAAAATAGTAGAAGAGTGAGTTAAACAGGAGAAATAATTCTAGCATGTTTGTTTAGTAATTACAACTCTGTGATATGAAAAACTTTAGTTATGGATGTTAGTATTATGATAATCTACCCAAGAAAATTTACTTGTAGGATTAAAGGAAAAATAAAATAAGCATGTTATTCACCATATATTTATTTTCCTTATTTACTTTTTAAAAATTAGCCTAGAGATAATTTGTGCTTATTTTAAGAACTTAAACAATATGAACACATGAATTTGGTATGTATCCTGCCAGACTTTTTTTTTTTTTTTTTTTTTACACACAACTATATTCCCACGTTTTCTCAATAGAATAATATGTTACAATGTTTACACTTTAAAAGCTACTGTAGATTTCAATAAGATATCCATAATGCTATTACAATCTTATCAGTCTCTGTGGGAGTATTTCTAAAACCTATTTGGATGAAAGTTTCCAAATGAGTATCAATTCCTTTTAAATTCTACAAAATATATATGTCAGGATGTTCATTGGAATATTTTTGTAGTATTAAAAAAACAAAACCAACATAAGTGTTCATCATTAAGGGTACATAGTACATCCCTACAATGGGATATCCTGCAGCCATGAAAAAGAATGATATTGTTTCATAGTTAGTACATATAGCTCTATATCTAATAATGAAAGAAAAAAATCAAAGCCCAGAATAGTGTTTCTAATATTTTACCATTTGTGATTCTTTTTTTTTAAGAAAAGGAGGAAGTATATATTCACTTAATTATCATGCACTCATACTGTGGAGTATGGGACCATTAAAAAGAATGAGGTCTGTATACTGACATGGAGAGACCTCTAAGACATATTGTTAATTTAAAAAATAAAATAAAAAGTCATGGAGCATTTATCATCTGATTTCTTGTAAAAAAAATTGCATGTACATTTTTATCTATGCAAATGCATAGTAAAAGGACAAGTATGTATACATAACTACTAACAATATTAGTTCCTAAAGATACGTGAGGAGATGGGGTTGGGAATGAAGAGGATCTTTGCTCTGTATACCTCTATTGTTTGAATTTTTTATGATGAGTCTTCATTCGCATATATTTTCTATAATAAAACGTAATAGTGCTCACTACAAAAATAATGAAGATTTAAAGATAAAAATAGAAAAGAAGAAAATAAAAAATACCCACGGTAAGCCCCACTACCCACACATACTCTGAGATTACCGCTGTTAAAGCCTTGATAAATATTTTTCCAGAGGCGAGAGACATTTTATGGAGGACTTTTAATTCTAAACTAAAGAGAGTGAGAGAAAGAGCACCATACAAAAAATTTACACTTAGCAGACTGCAGGCATGTCCCAGAAGATGGAGAAAAAGAGCATCATACAGAAAATTTACACTTAGCTCACAGATGGTCAGCATGCCCAAGGAGAGGGAGAGAAAGCACACCATACAAAAAATTTACACTTAGCTCAACAGACAGTGAGCATGTTTTTTGAGTAGAAAAAATAACATGATCACATGTGGTTTATTGCCTGCCTTGGTTTTATATTTCACTGTATCCCTAGTGCCTTAATACAGTGCCTAGCACGTAAAAGGAGTCCCTGAGTATCACAAAGAGTTAAGCATTTGGCTACTAACCAAAAGGTTGGTGATTCAACCCACCCAAAGCTGCCTCAAAGAAAGGCCTGACAGTCTACTTCCAAAAGGTCCCAGCCATGAAAACCCCATGGGGTGCACTTCTACTCTGCCATGCACAGGGTCTCCATGAGTCGGAAGCAACTCAACGGCAACTGATTTGGTTTTGGTTTAGCACATAAAAGCTGTCAGTAAGTATGTGTTTTAATAAACGAGTGGTGGTGATTTACTGACCACTCGGAAGCTCTTCCAGTTCCAAAACCCAAGGTGAGGAAAACATGCTAGTTGCCTGTTAGAAAACCACCAACTGTAGCTTGATAACACTGGGCAGATGTCCCTTAGTGTTACTACCTGCAGCTTGAATTAGCACCAGCAGTTTTAAATAAGTACCACTGTCTTCTCAAATCTGTAACAAGGCATGGGAAACTTTCACTAGAATAGGTAAACAGTCTGGGGTGTCATGGAAAGCCTTGTTTAAGAAAGAATACCTGTCCTTCTGATCTGTCTCTGGCCTTCTTTGTCCTTTTACAGGCCTTGTCTAACAGCAAGGAAAACTTCTCTGTACATGTAGTAGAGAATGGAATGATTTATTTGCCATGATGAGGGAGATAGATTATAAAAACCGTAGTATTTGGCCTCTTTTCTTGTGACTCTCTTCCAATCAAACAGAGGTCAAATTGAAACTTTGTTTAGTTTTGAAAATTTTATATATATATACGTAAACCAAACCAAACCCATTGCTGTCGAGTCGATTCCAACTCATAGCGACCCTATAGGACAGAGTAGAACCACCCCATAGGGTTTCCAAGGAGCGCCTCGTGGATTCGAACTGCCGACCCTTTGGTTAGCAGCCATAGCTCTTAGCCACTACACCTCCAGGGTTTCCATATATATACATACAGACACACATACATGCATACGTACACACACAGATATATATAACACATACATATGTACATACATACAAGCTACATAAATATATATAAAAGATCATTTTAATTCTACAGATAGTTGATTATCATGGAGCCTAAGATGAAGTTTCTGAATTTTTTTAAGGAAAATATTAATTTTTACTATTTGTGTTTTTCTTCTTAGTTTCTGCCACTGCCTTCTACAAAGCACAACCTGTAATTCAGTTCATGTGTGAAGTTCTTGACATTCATAACATTGATGAGCAACCAAGACCTCTGACTGATTCTCATCGGGTAAAATTCACCAAAGAGATAAAAGGTGAATTAATTAGCATTTGGAACAACTTAACTATAAAATGCATAGTTATAACAAACTTTTATTGGAATGTTTCTTTTCAATCAAAATCTATATAATATCATAAGTAAAAATGCAGACCAATTATAAAATGTTACGTTAAATTTATAACTATAACATCTTAGGTAATGTTTGAATGAAAGAAATGCTAAATAATGGAATTAGTACAATACCAGCTGAATTTTTTGTTAATACTTTCCCTTACTAGCTGAAGGGGTAAGTGTCTCGTGGGAAAATGCTTCTGTAATACTGTTAAAAGTAAGAAGCTTATTCCAAAACCATTGCTATTTCAGAACAAGAATCAGTCTTTGAACATATTCTAATATAATGACTTCCTTGTTTTTCTGAAATGATGTTTATTTATTTTATCCTTTTGAAAATTTATGGATATGGAACTAGCCTGTTTCATGGGTTACTCTAGAGCTGGAGCATAATGTATGTTATAGAGATGACTATTAATCCTGCCTATTTTACTTTGTTGCTAAAGTTTGTACCGTGGTGTTGCATCATATATACACTTAACTTACATAGATTCATCTATACATAATCTCTGAAAAAGAAAAAGAAATCATTTTAATAGCATTCTAGAAGTTATGTTTTGTATGTATTTACTCTTTATGTAAAGTACATTTCTCTACTCATTTAAATATAATGTATTGTTTTATATCCAAACCCACATGTACTGTACTTTATTAGCAATTTAAGGGATTTTTCAAGAATAATTTTATGTACAATTTTGCCTTGTTTATAACTTTAGAACCCAATCCTCATGTATGATGTGACTCCACTGTATTTAGTTTTTTATTATTTAAACATGTAAAAAAAAGTTCTCTCTAGTCATAGTGAATAGTGTAAATTCTATTTATATTAAGTGTTAGATCTTAAATAGCCAGAAGTAATTATGCTATTTTATTTTTAAGATTGTATCTATTCGTTGCAGATAATTTTCAGCTTGTGGTTTGAATGAAGCATTCAAGTTTATTCACTGACCATCTTTCAGATTCCCAAAATCAATTAGAGTAGCTGAATACATCCTGCTTGCTCCAGTAATCATTCATTCTTTGCCATTCCGTAACCAGGAGAGAGAGAGTCATTGTAATAAAACATTAAAAGGAAAGCCCGTCCTTCTTTGAAAATAAGCATCCATTTTTCTCAAGTTGCTTAAGTGCCAAAATAAGAAACTGTTATATATAACTGTTTTGCAACCATACCATTGTCCTTTCATAATCTGTATTAACTGCACAGTTAGCACTGTCTGCAGGTAGTGCATTACCAATACCATTAATATGTGATCATCTAAATGCCATGGTTTCCAGTGGAGTTGCTGCTTAGTTACCACCTCTGATATCATGAAATCACTTACATTATTTTGCGGTAACTATGCAATCAACTCATATCACCACTCTATCACAGAAAATACAAGATACAGAACAAGGATTCAACTGCTGCCCGAAGAGCATGGACTCGATCTTAACTTCAACTGCTCAGGGGCCCAAAGAAATGACTGAAAAAATGACTAGAAAGCATTATAAAGTTGATGTTATAGTGAAGGTAAAGCCAAGTTTATAGGTTAAATATTTGATTTCTTAAATCTAAAATTTTTTTCTGGTTGGCTGGAGGGTTTGGGGAGGGACCTGGGGAGAGAATTATCTAGTCCATTTTTTAAAAATTTCAGCTTTTTGCTAACCCCTGGATTTGGGCCTAATTCTTAGGTGCCTATTGTCCTAGATTTGGGGTAGAAAAACCTGGGTTGGATTTAATTGACAAACTGATGATTTTTTCCCCCCTTCAAAGTCATGAAGGCTTTTTTAAAGAGGAATTTTTAAAGTACATCGTGTATTCCTATCACAGTAATTCGAGAAAATTCAAGTTATATGTTCTGTGCTGTTTATTTGGGTTTAATTTTAGCTGGCATGAGGAATTTTATGATAGCTGTTAAGCATTGATACATAGTGTGCTATAATGAATATATTTTCTTAGTATATTAATTTTATTCCCGTCAGACTGTTTTCCTAAATGTTTAATAATAACGTGGGGATAGTTTCTTTGTCTAGTAGTTAAACAGCAGAACTGTTGGAGGAAATGTATGGTAAAAGTGCCATATGTATATAAAAATACCAATTTATTTTTGGTAAAAGCTTATTTAGTAGGCTTGCAGAACCTTATTAATAATTTTTTTAATTCAAGAGAGGACTTGAAAATAAATTGCTGAGCAGTATAAATAACAGAAATTTGTTAAAAAATTTTTTTGTTTTGTTTTTCCCCTAAATATAATTTTTTTCTGTCTTGCTTACTTCATATGTTGGTATTACCTTCTTATAAGGACTATCCATTATAGTATTTTTATTTTCTCATTCCTTTATATTATAGAAGCATAGTAAATTCTCTAATTGGTCTGCAATTTTAGTTTTGTTCATAATTACTAATAAAAAACTACTTCTTCCTGATTCAGTTAGGAATGCTTCTCACACTATAGCGGGGTAGAGAGCCCTGGTGGCACAGTGGTTAAGAGCTATGACTGCTGACCAAAAGGTCGGCAGTTTGAACCTACCAGCCACTCCTTAGAAACCCTATGGAGCTGTTCTAGTCTGTCCTATAGGGTCGCTATGAGTTGGAATTGACTCAACAGCAATGGGTTTGTTTTGTTTTGTTTATAGCAGGGTTTTTCAGTCTCAACACTGTTGACATTATGGGCTAGATAATTCTTTGTTAGAGGGAAAGGGACTGTCCTGTGCATTATAGAATACTTACCAGTATCCCTGACCTCCACCCACTAGATGCAAATAGTGTCCCCCAGTCATGACAATCAAGAGTGTCTCCAGACATTATCAAATGTCCCGTGGGGGCAAAACTGCCAGCAATTGATAACCAGTGCACTGGAGGATTCACAAATATAAAAGGGAAATAATACAAAGAGTAATAATCATAAATTCTGTCAGGGAGCTAAAAGTTGCCCTCCATCTACCACTTTTCAAACTTTCCTCTTTTGGAGTCTAGGCCAAACTTTAGAAATGGGGTTGCTGATCTGTGACCAGTAACCACTGTGTCTGTTAACTCTTTGTTAGGTAGCTCCAAGACTGCACTGTCCAATACTAGCCACATGTAGCTAATTAAATTAAAAATAAGTAAAATTATAAATTCTGTTTGTCCGTCACACCAACCAAAACCATGTGCTTAGTAACCACATGTTGCCAGTGATTACTGTGTTAGCATGAATATAGAACATTCTATCATTTCAGAAAATTTTACTGGATAGCACTGCTGAAGAAAATTGATCCCAAAGAATTTCAACCCATGGTTTAAGGCCCACTGCTTCACTTTGTAGAGCAGGCCTGGGATCTTCCAACCCCTAGGATCCACAGATAGGCTGTAGGGATCCAGGAATACCTACAGTCATAGGCTAAATTATGTATACACCCACTCCTCACTTATCAACATGGTTAGGTTCCAAAGACCAGTTCGTTATGCAAAAATGGAGGGGGACTACATCATTGCATTACTGCCAAATTACGTCATTACATAACTGGCACACCACTGAGCATCATGACCCAGCCAAGTTGATACGTAACTTCGATTCTCACAGACAGTGCAACTCTTGCCTTGCGCCTCAGTGTTCATTACTGTCAGATGTATGTCATTAATACACAAAATAGTTGGATAGTAGATTTTTTGCTGTTGTAAATGTGAACTATTGGACGAGATAGTGGATAAGTGAGGAGTAGGTGTTTGTTGCTGAGAGTTTATTTCTTTCATCAGATCTCAAAGGGGTCAGTCAACAGCAAGAGGCACTATATTATGCTTCAATTAAATTGCCATTCCAGTTCTGTTATAAGGGCCTAGGATTTTTTTCTCCCTGCTTTATAAATCTTTGAAGCACTTCCTTCTTCAGCCTTATGAAATTCTGATCTTCAACTAGTGCGTGATTACTGGCTTTTCAATGTCACATACTTAGAAGGTTATAGAATATCTTTTTTTTTTTTTTTCTTAACGTGTCCTTTTTTTTTTTTGTACTTCAGG